AATCGCGAACGCGTTAACCATTCGGCTACCAAAACCTATTCTGTTCTTCTCCAACTAGCTAATTAAAGCGAATGTACGTCATGCAGTGTGCTACGAGGGCCTACTCCTAATTCGAATTCTAACGGTAAAGGGTTCTTGTACGTGGACACCAATGAGTGTGAAAGAGAGAGAGATAGACTCGACACAAACCAGGTCATTCCGGGACTAACAATTTTATTTCAATAATTTGCTTGCGTTTAGGGGTCTTTAGCAGTGGGGGAAACCCGGAAAACCCGGATAAATGCACACGATTGGACAGACGATCCTAATCATTGTCACGTTCAAGCGACGAATCGAAACCGAGCCACTTGAATCAATGACAGACGCTAATGTGTACACGGGACCCCGGTTTTTTTCCCCATCTGAACGATTACACGTTATCCGTCCTCCATCCTACACAACTGACAAGTGAAGACATCTCCAGAAAAATCTCTATGCACTTTGATGAAGTTAGAGAGTAAACGTCCTACTCACTGAGCCACCGTATCCCCCACTTCGTTTAGATTCCGGACACGGGATCTCGATTATTTGTATTCCATCCGAACGACTATACGTTGTTCCTTGTCAGGCCCTCCGTCCTACACCACTGACAAGTCCATGCATCAAAAAACTCGATGAAGGTTATTGAAGTTAGAGAGCAAAGAAAGATTCGACTGAAGACTTAAAATCGATTACAGAATACAATACTATCTGTGCAAGAAGAGATTAAAATTGTTTAGGACTATTAAATTTTCTAGAACTTCAAACATTTCCGTTTATTATAATCAATGTACAAATATAAATACCGATACGGTAGTCAGTGGACACGCGTATAAACTGCACTTCCGAGGCGAGAACACGAGCAGACGAGAAGTCGATGTGACGAAGCGAGGGAGCGAGAACACTAGAGGACGAGATTACCTCAAAGGCGAGGGAGCGAGGGAGCGAGAAGTCGAGGTTTTTCAAAGGCGAGAACACGAGAAGACGAGAAGTCGAGGGCAAGAAGTCGAGGACGAGAAGTCGAGGGCGAGAGTGCGAGAACACGTGGTTTTTCAAAGGCGAAAACAGGAGGGAGCGAGAAGTCGAGGTGAAAATAATCTCGTGTTCTCGGGGCGAGATCCTTTATTCTCGCCCTATTTCCTCGTATTCTCGTCTACTCGTGTTCTCGCCCTCGACTTCTCGTCTTCTCGTGTTCTCGCGGCGAGAAGTCGAGATTCTGAAATGGCCGCAATAGGCTTCCATATTATATATTATAGGCTTTCGTTTCCTATCCAAATCAAAGAATCTTGAAGAGTTTGAGATTGACAGCTGTGCTTTCGTTTCCTATTCAACTAGTTAAAATTCAACTAGTTTTTTAGCGAGTCATTAACAACCAAATGTGCCATTATTCTGCCATTTATATATTATTCAAAGTTACTAACATTATACGTCTTCAAAGCCCGACTCAAAAATGAGGGAAAATTATTGGCACAGTGAGAGATGCAACATATGGGAACACTATTCATGAAATGGTAATAACAGCATATTTTTGTGTGTAATTCTAATATTTTGTGAAGCACATATACATGTATGTATTATATACATAAACGGTGGGCACATTGTAGTAACTTTCTTAAATAAATGTAGCGGAACTCCATCGGAATTACCGACACGATGCCACTGTACATTATATTGTTGGTATCAATTGAATAGATTAATAATATATTTTCTAGTTATGCACATGCTGGAATTCTACAACGTAATCATTTTAATAGAATAATTCGTTTTTACATGCTTTACATGCCAAGCAACCGAATAGATAATAATATTTTTTGTCATATTGGCATCTCGAATAAGCCCCATTCAGCGAATATCTATGTAAAAGATCATGATGAACCGCAAATTCTTTTGAGTGCCATATTCAAAAATATGTATACTAAAATATGAGTTGATTAAATATGCAAATTAGCTGCTGCCAATGTTCACAAAAGTTGCTCTCAGGGGACAAAATGAGGGGTCAACAACCATATGTTCAGCACCAGGACATTCGAGGTGTATATTGGAGGCTATTGCCGAAACGTTTGCGTTAAGAAACGGACAATTACGTGAATTGGGATTCGTACTAGCAGTGTTGGTCAGTGTGAGTGACCGGTGCGAATATACAAGGTAAATACCCAGGGGAAAGTATCCATATTTCTCCGCTGTCCAATGCCAGTATGGTCTGGCTTGCTGCAAAGTAAGGAGAGGAACGAGTTCCCTGGAGAGTCGGTCGATCTGTTTATGCTAATGACTGGCCTTCCCATGTCTTCTTGAGTGTATTGGGCACTGATGGCGGATTTGGGCATCGAATAACTCCTTGGTTAGGTCTGTAGAACGCAATCAAACCTAATATATTCATTGACAATGCTGTTGTTACAGCGACCCGATGACATTTTCTCCTGCATGCTGCCCCGGCTATCATGCTTGCTGACAATGCACCGACTGTCCATCTACCATACGCGGTTAGTATACAATAGAGACTTTTGGCAAGCGCAATTTCCTGGTCCGTATCGCGTATCCGTATGGATTTTGCGTGTGACGTCATCAATGTCTGTGTATTTCTCATACGTGATACGGCACACGGATACGACAGCACGTATGGAACGGCTTTCATACGGAAATGGTCCGTATAACACTGTCGTCTTTTTACCGTCTTTTTTGCTACTTTTAGACGCTGAAATGTTGCATCATAGCGTTTTTATGAATCTATGTGTATCCTAGAACACGAAGAGGTATATTTGATGTGATTTTAACAGTGATAACGACTGGAATTTAATCATTATTTTTGATGGGTTTTTCTCGGAATTTTTATATTTTTCCCGCCTGTCTGCATATTGGTTGATCTACGGGCTAAACTTTCTGAAATGATACATTAGTGAAACCAAAAATTGCTAAAATCTGCCAAAACTCTAAAACTACATTGACGCAACGTATCACGTATACGATACGGATACGGGATACGGATGGGAAAAATCCGCTTGCCAAAAGTCTCTATTTTCAGAAACATCGCTTGCGTGCAGATCAAGGGACATAACTCCAATTTGCACACTATTTGTATTGGTTCTCTTATTTAACATAATGCATACACATAATAATATTTCGAGAACACATTTAGCAGTTCTTTACAGAAGAAGTAAGAAAACTTTGAAGCTGATACTCCTGTAGAAATCTTTAATTATTGGGAAATTTATTGTGGTATTTCCTATTAGTATTATCATATTTTGTTTTATTCGTGTTGCCTATTATTTCATTGGTTGTTTGTTTCACAGTTCAAATTCATATTGAATTTTAAGTTACTGACAAAATTTAAAAGACCTAAATCTCTATTCTTTGGAACCTAAAATAGGCGAAAATGGGTCAAAAAGCACATAATCATTTTTTGAAGACTCTGGATAATACTGAATTAGAGCTTTATGCCGTTTAATTATAATTTATTACTTGCAGTTTGCTCGTAGGTAGTAGTTTGTTGTATTTTACGTCCGCTTCCACCGAGGTGATATCGCAGACAATCACGTGTTTTTTTTTTTTTTTTTTTTTTTTTTTTTTTTTTTTTTTTTTTTAGCGATGAGACTGTCAATGTTTGGATCGAAGCTGATCTCAAGAGGTGTTGAGGTTGAGGGATGGTAGCTGCATTCTTGGATGTTAAAGCTGCTCTCATATATTATTTTTATTGCAGGTGGTCTTGGCTTTGTAAATTCGAAGTTTGTTTCTTTTGCTGCTGTTCTACCTCCCTCTTCTCTTCTTCGTTTCGGTGCCTTTGGTTCTATTGGTGGAGACTGTGTTACTGGCGGTGACTGGGTTACTGTTTCGATCACTGTTTTACTGTCCTCGACTGGCTTTGTTGCTTCTGGGACTGGGTGTTGTGCTGGCCGTTTGTTCTTATCCCTTTCTGGGCCTCGAAGAGGGCACTCCTTGCGTGAGTGGCCCAACTTCTCGCATCGGAAGCATGGAGAAGCTTGGCCTGGTGTTACGACTCGGACTCTGGCATCTCCGTGAGGGGTCTTCAGAACTATTATCTGTGGAATATTTTTCATTTCCTCCGTCTTGATTTCTATTTCCACCTCTCTTACTCTCTTGTAAACTCTAGTGCCCGGCAGTCTTTGGTCTTTGAAGGATCTGACGTACCCAATATCGGTCATAATATTATGGAAATAGTCGTCTGAGTAAGAGACTGGAAAGTCATATACGGTGAGGGTTACTACTTTCGAGAATCGTCTGAAGAATCTGTATTCTATCCCCATGTAGGTGTGGCTTTCTTTTTCTAGTAGTGTGGTTTTGACCTCTTTCGTCTTCACGTGGACATGCCATTCTTCTTTAACCTGATATATTGTTAATATATCGTCCCACTTGCCGAGCAGGTCGATCAGGCACTTCAAGATAGACCTGTCGGTCAATCTCTCTGTGCTACTAACCGCCACGTGGTAGGACACCCTGCTGGTCTCATCTTCGGGGACTTCGTAAGTTTTGATTATAGGGTTCATCGTGAATAGAGTACTGGTGAATAGAATACTGGAGTACTGGTGAATAGAATACTGGAAAACTGTTGAATAGAATACTGGAAAACTGGTGAATAGAATACTGGAACACTGGATAACTGGAGCACTATAAGACTGGATAACTGGGATACTGGATCACTGGAGCACAGGTGTTAACAGGGCGAACGCTAATGCTCGTAGGTTCTCAATTATCTATTTATACGAGACAAGACATGAGTGTCACTCTACTTGTTGGGTGTAGTTGGTGTCCATTTAGTGTTTATATGTTGGGAATCAACTGTGATCATTTTGTGGAACTTTTGTAATTCAGAGTGTACGTATTACCGAAGGATCCGATGCTGTCTTTCAACTTCCAGACAAGCTGCGATTTTTAGCCGTTAAGTTCAGTATCAAGTCCGTCTTCTGATGATCGAAATTAGACTGTAGTCTGCTATTCCGTAGATTCCTTCACACTTCTCGGCTGTTCCACTCCCAGCTGGAATAAATCGGGACATATTGAGAGTTCAAGCGGTAGACACTTAAACAGTATTGATCATTGGGTGCGTGGAAATAACATTCTTGGGAATAATGCAATTAAAAATCTAATGGTGAAATAACTAGTGGTCAAATACCCAAACTGGTTGACAAATTCAGCAACAACGATCAAAAGTAAACATACCTTTTTTTTTTAAAACAATATTTATATTCAGGTTGTCTGAATGGGATTGGGGAACAGACTTATCCTATGTAAAAGCCCTCTCCCTAAATAATTTGTATACATGTATATATATATCATCAATGCAAAATGTGTGTATATACATAGTTATAATGACAAACACATACATATTATATAAGTATAATAAAATATGATGGGTGAAAATGTAAACATACCTTGCTTCTTGCAAGACACGCTTCACTGTCGTGGTGAGTGAAAACCCAATATAATAAAACGTAAAAATGAGGTTGGACTAAATAAAATCATTGACAATAATCTTTTATATTCATGGATATATTTATTATTTACGAATAAATAATACCATGGTACAGTCAGGGATATTTCAATATGTAAATCCTGTCTTTAGAGAGTTATTGCATTAATATTTAAGTCAACATATAGAGATAGGGACATGTTAAAATGCATTAAGCAACATACAAATAAACTCAGTGTGAAGCTTTAAATACATGTAAAAATATATTGAAAGGGTTGAGAATAAGACATCACGAGACCTCAATGTTAACTTATTATTTAAGTTTGAAAGGACACTGCAGCCATTGTAACCCTAACGTTAACGAGATAGACCTAAATACATTTTAATGTTTTGCTATCTTTTTACAGGGTGTGTACAGAGGTATGGTGCGGGGTTTTAGAGCTGAACTAAAGACATATCTTTATCTATTTACTGCCTGAAGTTTATGTGCAGAAAATCACATACAATATTGTGCATACATTTATAATCATGTACATGTATATAACCCCATAGAAATGGGCTAATATCCAACGGCAATTGACATGGAAGACTAGATCGAAGATTTTTTTGCGTAAAGTCACTTTGCAGCGTGAAGATGATGTTTAACGTTTCGTGTATGCGTTTGGTTTTGAATTCATGCAACAGCATATTGTTATAAATATTGTCAACTATCAACTTCGACACAATGGGAAAATCCGTACAAAGTCATTTGATCGTTTTATATTCCATGATCTCTACCATCACCTGTTCTTTGTCAACAGACTACTTTCCCACATCGTGGTCTTCGGTGTGCAGTAGCAGCATAAACAACAACACAGAAACAAATCGGGCTAATCTATTCTGTTACCTGGGGCCGAACGATCCTGTTATTATCAATTTAAAACATTTGAATCGATTTACTCGATATCTTCCGGAGCTAACTGTTAATGTCAGCATTGAGTGTTTTAGTGGTGGGAATATCTCTATGACCTGGCCTATGAAAATAACGGGACTAGTGGGTCTTATGGTACAAGATTGTGTTATTTATGATTTTATGAGCGACTGGAATAACCAGGAATTAGAAGGAACATCGGATACCCTCCAAACACTAGCTGTTATTAACTCTGTTAATTTAATCAACATACCATTATTATTTCAAGCTATTACCGAATTCAGAAATGTATCTAATGAATGGAACTGTGGTCATGACACAACTTTGAGAAAAATAGTTTTCAGATCTTTCCGTTTTCACGTGGAAAATTTTGGGGATGACACAATGCCATACCAAATACCAGACCTTAGCGTGATGGACCAGAACGCCATGGTTAACGAGGGTTTTGATTGCACATTTCCGCACCTCAAATACCTCGAAGAATCCTTTGATGAAATTGCCACCTCTTACCATTTCGAAGCCCTGAAGATGGGCGATTATCCTAATCTCAGGTGTATGAACTATTCTAACAGTGTATGGTCGGCAATTCCACCGGCTTTGAATGATTGGTACCTGAAATACCCGAAATTAGAATATATGGATTTTAGTGGTAATCAAATTTCAGAAGTTAAACTTCGCGATTACCGATCCAGTTTAACGAAAACCATCACAGTTCTTGATGTACGAAATAATAATATCACTAGCATAGCTGTTCAAGATATCAAGAATTGGATTCAAGATTTGTCATTCATGTTTGTCGATATTCGAAATAATCCTTTGGACTGTAGTTGTATAAAACGGGAATTTATTTACCAAGTTCAAGACGAGGATTGGTTTGTTGGTGATTTGTTTAAATATAAATATATCAGAAATATGACTTGTTCCACTCCGCCATCAGCTCGTGGTAAAATGTTACAATATTTGACTAAAGATGATATGGGATGTGCGATACCCCCAGCTGATCTGACTGTAGCTCTCGTTATAGTGGCCATTGTTGCCGCTATTTTAATCATTCTTATCGTGCTTTTAGTGCGATATAGAAAAGGGGTCAAAATTATTCTTTATACAAGATTTGGTATCTTAATACCAAGTGAAATGGGTGACAAGTCCGACTCTAAGATATATACAGCCTTCGTATCCTATAGTTCTGCGAATGGAGACTGGGTGCACGATTATCTTCAAAAGAATATCGAGACTCCATCCAACAGTAAATGTCAGGCTTTCAAATTGTGTTTACACGAACGAGATTTTATCGGTGGGAAAAGCATCCTGGACAATATCATATACAGTATAGAGAACAGCCGTCACACTATTGTTATACTCTCAAAGGCGTTTCTAAAGAGCATCTGGGGAATGGAGGAATTCACTCAGGCTTATAACGAAAGCATTGTGAAGAAACGGCGACATTTGATTCTGGTGAAACTCGAGGATATACCTGAAGATGAGATTCCAACTTCCCTGAAACGTTGTTTAAGGACTTTCACCTATTTGGACATTAAAGATAATATGTTTTTAGATCGACTGAGATACTCGTTAGCTATTAAATCTAAATTAGTTAGATACGATTCATTGGTTTCCATAAAAACCCAAGTTTCCACAGATTCGGGATGTGTGCATGACGTTAATGGCTCAGAACATGACACCCATAGCACAACAGATAATGCGGTTTCCATTGTCGAGGTTAAAACAGACTTTTAAGACTGTCTAATTAAATTATTTTAAATATTACAGATTTTTTTTTGAGAGAAGATACTTCACGTTTATTTAAATATTATTGATCACAATAGGGATTGACATTCCATTTTAATAATTTCTCCAAACTTGTTTATGGCTTTTAAGCTTGTTTTCGGTGGTGATGCTTCATAATATTCTATACGGTATAAACGCATACCAGACTCTTATATTCATATGGAAATCAAAATCCATAGACTTTTAAAACTACATGCCGATTTTATTGAATGGCAAAACACATTAATTACAATTATTACAATAGGGGTTATACCGTTCTTTAACAAAATGTTTATGATCTGTGAAATTTTTTGTTCGGTTATTTATGTATCTTTCATAGTTCTATTTTAAAAACTACATTCCAGGTAAATTTTGGATTTTTGCCTCTGTCTTTGTGAACAATTTTCGCTGTGTCAGGTTTTAAAACTTGGCTTATTCTGAATGCGTAATACTTTCCGAGTAGAATTCAAACGGCGTTTCAAGGAGTCATACGCATGTATGCAATTTCTTTTCGTGTTTGCTTTCTAGTAACCGGGTCAAGACCAGTACACATCTTGGTATATACTGGGATAAAATAGAAATGCAACACTATTATAAATGGATGACTGTAGTTTATGTTTAAAGAGATAGTCTTTAATCTTGCAATTGGTGTTTTTACGAGAGCCTAAACGCACCACAGATCGGTTATCTCAAGCGCAACAAATAGCCAGCAGCTATTTCTTCTCGTGACCCTTTTGCTTGACACCAAATTTAAACGAATTCGTATAAAACTGTTAAGTCTATCGCGTTAACGCGGTCTTCGAAAAGGGGGCGCGGGGGACTCCGGAACTGGGGGGTCCTCATGATCCCAATGCATCACGACACATTTTACAGAAATTCGCTAAAGAGTGTACCCTTTATAGCGTTAACAAGCCAGTTGTGGACGGACGGATAGGTCAACGACATAATATGCCCAGACTGCAAATTGAATTCGAGAGAATGGGTATGTTGAAAATCACAGTGTAAAAATTAACGTGTCTTTTAAAAAGCTGGGGTCAATATACGTCCTACAGTTCAGTTGAAGGTATAAAATGTGACTTTTAAACAGGTAGGTTTATTACAGATCAGTGGAAGATGCAGGGAAACATTTATGCCTGGATGGCCACATGAACGCATTGTTGCGTTAATACAAGCGGGCATGAGTCAGGGAGCCATGGGAAGCAGCATTTCAGAGGGTATAGAGACGCGTTATACTTTAGATATTGGCACGTATGGATTATTGTCCCTGATTGTACGACATGTTGCGTTTTGAGCTTGTGTACCTCAAATATCCCGTAAATGGCCGCTTTTGCTAACCATACCTGAACAGTTCCCAAAGAAATAATTTCTGTTGCAGTTTGTGCTAGGTGCATTTGTATCTATATCCGCTTATTTCGTCACTTCCTGAAGTATTTATCGCATCGGTGCGAAAACGAACACCAAAACGAACATATGTTCGTTTACGTTTTCGTTTTCATATCCTCTGACACGCGGTTTCGCAATCCTATGTACGATAAAAGCAAAGTTTTCAATCGATTTTTTGGCAGATGTCTAAAACTTAAGCAGAATATTGCTTTTGAGCACATTCTACGTACTCTACACAATCAACAATATACACAAAGCCTCGAAAAATGGTGGAAAATTCAATATGAGACAAGAAACATATTCGTTTGCATACCTACGTAAATCCAGCTCCATACGCGTAACGTTTTTCACTGGCCGAACACTCATTACGGATTGGCGTCAGAAGTACACACGAATTGATGACCTTTTCGTTTTCGCTGATCTTGGATGATTTCGATTATTGTGTACAACGGACATTCGGTTCGGGAGTTACGTCTCCTGCATTTTACGCAAAATGTGAAATATGTACAAAGTTTTTGGTCCCGTACGAGGCGACCACATTGTGTACAACGGACATTCGGTTCTGGAGTTATGTCCCCTGCATTTTACGCAAACTGTGAAATATGTACAAAGTTTGTGCTCCCGCACGAGGCGACAGTCTATGTCCGAAATAGAGGAAACTTAAAAAGTTCTTGGATGGGTTCGTTTTTGGTGTCCTAGAGGCAACAAGTTTTAAAATGTGTTAAGAATCAAAAGATCCGGGGTGAGTTAAATTTTGGTACGCATCGGGCCTTCCGTTATGCCCCCTGCCTTTAACGCAATATGTACAGTTTGTGGACCCTCTAGAAGCCACAATTTTTGTCCGATATAGATAAAACTTAAAATATGTGTGAAGGATCAAAAGATGTTGGATACGCTCCGATTTATTCCCCATTTTCTGAATTCTTTTTTTTTTTTACAGATTTGTTTCAAATTTGGTTTGAAGCATGATTTTGAAACGTCTTTGAAATAAGTTGTTAACATAAATATTGGTAATGATAAATTTGCCTCGAGGATGTACAACCGATGGAAAGTTATGAGCGTCGGGGACAGGTTACCTGGCGTCCCAGGGAAGCTTCGGGGCGTCGCTAGCCCTTTGGATCCATCGGCTGGCCTCGGAAGAACTAATTTTATAGATATTTGAATAGGGGAAAAAAATATTTCGAGGAAGCTCCAGGGAAGCACCCGTGGGGCTTCCCCGTGGATCTGGAAAGCTCCGGGGATACCTTCCAGCCAGTTTTCCCGACAAAACGTAGGGAACACATAGCAGTTCTCTCGAGCGCGCCCCCCCCCCCCCACACACACACACAGCCCGAAACCCTAATGGTTCCGATGGCTTAACAAATATCCGAGCAAGAATATTCTGCCCCGATGATTAGGAGCCATTCACGATGATTCACGACAATTGTTCGGGAGACATTCCCATCAGCTTTATGACCATAGCCGAAGCACCAGTAACTACTCCGTTTTTTTGGGACAAAACCATCGGGAGCCATCGTGAGAAAATTTGTTTTTTTTTCCACATCGCTGATGAATTTTCCCCAGTGGGACCTAGGCATAATATATTTCTTTCAGGAAATGACCATCCAAAAACAAAATTAATACTTTTGTGAACTAATTTATGTTTTGTTTTTGATTACATGATTCGTTGAACGAGAGCATCGCTAACGCTGTAATATACGTTCACATTCCTGCTTTGATTATATGGTACTTTTGAAAATCAAGGGAATGAAATATGAAATGGCTGTAATATGACAAGAGGCAAAGGCGGCTAGGCGTTGGGTTCGTTTTGCCAAATTTACAGACAAAATATTAACAAAAAAGTGGGTGTGACAGTGCCCCAGGGGGTCGGAGCAGTGTTTTTACAGATAAAAACTAAAAAAAAATTGGGAGTGGTACCACACCCCTGGGGGTCGGGACATGCGCCAAAATAAATAGTTGCTACCCTTGGTATCTTTATAGTATAAGGAATAAATATACCAAGTTCCAAGATGATCCATTTAGAATTTCAGACTGTAGACAAAAAACACAAAAATTGGGCGTGGCTCTGTCCCTTGGGATTGGGCATGGACCAATATATATAGATACAACCCTATGCTGGATCATTCAAAATTGGATCCAAATCTGTTAATAATTGCAGCCTATATATCATTTACAGACAAAATATCAACACCGCCGAAAGGGCAGTGGGGGGAGGGGGTCGTGCACCAACATCAATAGTTGCCGTCTGTAGGGTACAAAAAATAAGTATACCAAGTTCCAAGATAATCCATTCAGTTGTGCCCTTAGGGCGCTAAAGGCAAAAATTGGGCGTGGCTCAGCTCCTGGGGGGCGGGGCATTCACCAAAATCAATAGGCTATAAGGAATACATATGCCAAGTACCAAGTTGATCCATTCAGAATTGCGGCCTGGGGGGCGGGGCATGCAGTTGTCGTCCTTAGGCTATAAGGAATACATATCCCAAGTTCAAAGAATCGTGGTCTAGGCAAAACACAGAGACACAAAGTAAAATGGGTGTGGCTCTGCCCCTGGGGGTTGAACAATCACCAAAAAACAATAGGAGTCATCCGTGGGGTATAAGTAATAGGTATGCAAAGTTTCAAAAGGATCTGTTAAAAATTGCGGCCTTTAGGCGAAACAAAAGACACACAGGGGTCGTGCATGTATAAATATATACACCAATGAATAAAAGTTTTTTTAAAAGACATTTATCAGGATTCTATAACCTTGATATACTGTCTCACTATTTGTATATGAAGATGACACAGCCTTTCTTTGCTCCATGACAACTATGTAAACCGACACGATTGACATATACGTATCTTTTGTGTATATACCATCCCGGATGTAAGCATGTTGTGCCGCAGATGCCATTGGCTGATAATCACTATGACGTCTTAGCCACGGTTGACTGAACACCGACCTCAATTTATTACCTTAGTATCTTTATAATTTGATTTAAAAAAAAGAATCTATGGAGACTTTAATTGTATTTTATTTTTTAAATATTAATATAGTATGCTGTTTTATCCATTTTCTTTTTTTGTGCGAACACAGTAAGTTAAATATTATAGGTTTGGCCTTTATAAACTGGTTGCGAACTAGGCAATCACTCTTTATTAATAAGTCTTTAAAACAGGTAACATGAAAAAAAATCTATATTTGAAATGCGCGGAAAACCAATAGGGAGTGTGACGTATGCAGGGCGGATCCAGGAATTTTTGCAGGAGGCGGTTTGCCAGGTTCCCGAGACAATGTACCCCCCCCCCCCTTCCCTCCCGCATCTTCTCTTTCGTCATTTTTGCGTGTAAACATACACATTGAGCTTTTTAAACAAAGAAATTCAACACCTCGTTTGACGTCAATTTTTATTATGAATTAATACAATGACATTGTGATTCAATTTCATGGTTGCAAAGCATTAATTGTGATATCACATAATGTCTATATCATTATCTCGTGATTTGAGTGCCCATACTGTCCAACATCTGACAATAAAAGTTGATTTACTAAAAAAATGTATGTAGCGGAGCGGGGGGAGGGGGGTCTACCCCCCAACCCCCATCTGGATCCACCCCTGGTATGTTGTTCAAATTGTACACATTATTTAAAGAATATATTATGAAGACTTAGTATAAATTAAAGGGGCTGGGCCTGCTTGATTTAATTAAAATGAATTCTCTCGATTAATGATGGTTAAATTTCGGTTCGGAAAAATTAAAAGCAGAATACAGTGAAATTTTTAAATGTCTTATATGACAACATGTGATATACACTTTGTTAACACTAATAGTTCCAATGACTGTATTAAAGTGATATATGGAATGGGTTATCGCTTAGAAAAATAGACACCAAAGTCACAAGCGACAACGTTTTATCGATACATTATATGGATGAGTAATGAAAATAAATCCGATATGGCACAAAATTACGTTTTGTTATCTATGTGGTGGTGATGGTATTACCAGTTCATCGTAATATTAGAAACGCCCTCGATTTCTTCCTCAAATAGTGAACAGGCTCAATACATTGTTCAAAGGGGTTGGAAATTTTGTTTCAGCGATACAAAACGGCAAACAAAATATCGTATACCAGACTGTCAGGATTGGCTACTTTAAACAAACTGTATCACCCAGTGTAACACCGATCGGCAGCTTTTGTGTGCAGAAATATACTTCAATTGACATTGTAGAAAGCATAGTACATTCTGTATAAAATATATATATATATATATTATAATACATGTAGAAATGCGATTGTGTGTTCAGTTTGGCCAAGACAAGCGCCGTGGTTGAGATCATGTCTCTTTAACGTTTTCTTGTTCATTGGTGCGTGTTGATTAGTGTCGACCTCAGGTATATGCGGATACATACCAACCGAATAATATATATACAAACAGCTTGCGGCCAGCCACGAAAAGTCTATCTGATGTCACACGTGGAATGACATCAAACAGTTCCCATTACTGAGCGAGTCAAGTCAATATTTTCACCAGGTATGTTGTAAACTATTTTTATTAAACGTTAAAAGTTCACCTGAAAGCTGTGTTTGCTGGTTGTTATTGCATGTAGTTACCTGTTTTTTGGCCAATGACCTTTTCTGGGCCGAATAATTTCATGTTAATTAACCCTTGGAGATTTCGTCGAGGAACATGGATCAACAAAAAGTTCTAATTATATCGAATAGTTTTTGGTCAGTATGTTCTTCTTATTCAAGGATACTAATTTATTATAAAACGACGCAATATAAAAGATCCAAACATTTTTGGTAAATTTTCAACGATCGTCATGCTATTTTTTTTGTAAAACAGAAAGCTATATCTTCAGAATAGGATATTCATAGTATGCATGCATGCTGTACAGAGCCAGAATGAATAGATTCAACTCAACAATATTAAATAGGTTTAAATTGAAGAAAGGGCATTGTAGTGGCGAGGTGTATATTCATTTGAGGCGTATTACTATATGTTCCCATTCGCGTATCTTCACGAAGTTGGCCCTAAATTAAATATGGCCGATCTATTATACTATTTTTCAAGGTGTGTGATAGTGGGGTGTTATTTGATATACCTTCACGTATTGAAGTAGTTACTGTGCGTGACTAAATAAAGAATTGTATAATACAATAATGTATAATTTTAAAAGATTTGTGTAAAGACTGTCTTTAGCTAAAATGATATTTACAACACGTTTTCGATTATGCAAAGTATTATGAACTGTCGCATACCATTATTATTGTTATATTGGATGAATATTTATTTCTTGTGTGGATTCGTTCCAGGGTACCATTAAAAGTAAAAGAAAGCCAGTTCCTTGACTATTCTATTTGTGTTCTGATTGTATCAATAATTTACACGATGGGTGATCCAACACGCCATTATTTGATAGTGCTGATAATCATAATCACCAGTTGTACCGGTAGCTTTGCAACAGACTATTTTCCCACATCATGGTCTTCAGTGTGCAAGAGCGACATTAATAACACAACAGAAACAAGCCAGTTTATTTTGCGCTGTGCCTTAGGTCCAAATGATCCTGTTCTGATAGACTTAAAACAGCTAAAAAGCTTCACTACAAATCTCCCGGGCCTAACTGTTAATGTCAGCATTGAGTGTTCTGCTGGTGGAAATCTCTCTATGACCTGGCCTATGAAGATACCAGGACTATCGGTTCTAAAGATACAAGGTTGTGTTATTTATGATTTTATTAACGATTGGAATAACCAGGAACTGGAAGGAACACCGGATACTTTACAATCTCTTACTCTTGTTGATTCGGGAATTTTAATCAACTTTGCATTATTTTTTGAAAGTTTTACTGGAATCATAAACGTTTCCAGAGAATGGAATTGTGGCCATGATACAACTTTAAGAAGAATTGTAATAAGATCTTTTAAAGCTGGCCTTGATATGACTGACACCGAACCGAACCGAATTATGGAGCCTTGGTTAATGGAGCAGTTCGTTACAGATATAGAGAACATGGGCTCAAACTGTAGATTTGAGCACCTTGAATACCTCGAAGAATCTGCAGAAGATGTAGTCAACGCTTTCCAAGTACGATTAATGACTTCTGATTCCCATTATCCCAATCTTAAATACCTCAACTTCTCTAACAGCCAATGGCAGGAGATTCCACCGGTTTTAAACGATTTTAACCTGAAATACCCAAAGCTAGAATACATCGACTTTAGTAGTAATTTTATTTCAAAAGTTACACTGAGGAATTTAGCAACATATGACAAGAACAGGGTTCTTGACGTCCGGAATAACAATATAACAACTTTAGCTGTTCAGGATATCAAAGATTGGGTAAAAGGGCTGCCATTTATGTTTGTCGATATTCGAAATAATCCGTTGGACTGTAGTTGTATAAAACGGGAATTTATTTACCAAGTTCAAGACGAGGATTGGTTTGTTGGTGATTTGTTTAAATATAAATATATCAGAAATATGACTTGTGCCACTCCGCCATCAGCTCGTGGTAAAATGTTACAACATTTGACTGAAGATGATATGGGATGTGCGATACCCCCAGCTGATCTGACTGTGGCTCTCGTTATAGTTGCTATTGTTGCCGTTATTTTAATCATTCTTATCATACTTTCAGTAAGATATAGAAAAGAGATCAAAATTCTTCTTTATACAAGATTTGGTATCCTAATGCCATGTGAAAAAAGTGACAAATTCGAATCAAAGAAATACGCAGCTTTCGTGTCCTATAGTTCTGCGAATGGAGACTGGGTGCATAATTATCTCCAAGAGAATATCGAGACTCCATCCGACAGTAACTGTCATGCTTTCAAATTGTGTTTACACGAACGAGATTTTATTGGCGGAAAAAGCATCCTGGACAATATCACATACAGTATAGATAACAGCCGTCACACTATTGTTATACTCTCAAATGCGTTTTTAGACAGTAGATGGGGAACGGAGGAATTCACTCAGGCTTATAACGAAAGCATTGGGGAGAAACGGCGACATTTGATTCTTGTGAAACTCGAGGAAATACCTGAACATAAGATGCCAACTTCGCTGAAACGTTGTCTGAAGTTTTTCACCTATTTGGACGTTAAAGATAAGATGTTTTTGGATCGACTGAGGTACTCGTTGGCTATCAAATCTCAACTGGTTAGACACAATTCCTCAGTTTCCATAAAATCTCAAGTGTCCACTGATTCGGGGTGTGTAGATGATCTAAATATTTCCGAAAAGGATAACGACAGATCACATGATACTGCATTAGACATTGATGAAGTTTCAACACAGATATAATGTTGGAAATAATTATGTGTTACCGTTGTGAACTGCTTATACATGAGAAAGCCCATTTCATGAGAAGTCTTGAAAATTATTTCATTTTTACTAATACCTTATTCAGACTTGCATAGATTGTTGAACTAAGAAATGACTTGATTTAAATAGTGAGTGCAGGAGGACCGCACTACACGCAAAACAAAAATTTACAAGATAAACCTGCGGACAAGACAGAATATAGACATTCCAAAAAAATATACAAATATCAAATCAAGTAAATGGATCCGGAGGTCAGTCGTGAGCGTCCACTGTGTTGTATAGTCCGGGGCCTGTTATGGTACAGGCTTTACTCAAATGTTAGTTTCGTCCTGGGTTTGCTCGAATTTTTGACATAAATTCTTAATTGTTTGTGGTATTTGAAGAGATAGTTTAGAATGTTGGATGGAAAGTAACCATAAATATAATTCTTAAATTGAAGTTTTAGCGTAGGGGTGAAATTGTTATTTGTAATTGATGTGGAAACAGCGGGACCCGTCCTTCTTTACGTGTCGGTGTGTAATGGTGCTTAAAATACAGATGTAACGTCATCCTTTGACGGGCAACGTACTAATCGTATGGGCAACGTGCTAATCGTACATAATTGTATACTTGATAAAGATTCCTGTGACGATTTCGTTGAAATGCATGTGCGGGATAGCTTATCTGTCTTTTGTCTAATGGTCTCGAGGAAGACATTGCGTAAAATATTGAAACAACACTCGGACTTGTGCCGTATCAATATATTACTTAATATCCCGCTCTAAACCATTAAACCACACAGAGAAGCAATTTTGAAAAGTTGACTCAAAATGGCGAAAGTTGTAGCAATAGATGTATATAATTATTATTAGTCATATAATTCTTCTGTGATCCGGCGAAAGATAGCAAGCGACTTTGGTCTTTTTTAAAAACTAAATAAAAATATGTCAGCAAATGTCTTCTTTTGGTCAGCAAAATTTAACATCGATACATTTGATGTTTTGCCCACATTAGGGAAAACGCTCATGTTTAATAAACAACGAGTGGGGATATATTACATGAGATACCTCAAAAGGGCAATTTAAAAGGCCGCCACAAGAATCACATTGTTTACGGTTACCCGACCGACCCTATTTTATACATAATAGACATATGAGAGAATTTAAAATGACATCACAAAGGCTATAGACTGCAAGTGTCGATGTAAGTTACTAATTTATTAGTTCAGTTAGTTCAGTTTTTACAAACCCTACAAAACTAAGAATTTTCCGAGCGACCAAGTAACCGTAAACACAATGGGGTTTTCACGAGAAATTGAAGCAAGTAATTGACATGAAAATACAAATCTAAACAAGGAAGTAGTACATGGCCATTAGTAACCTTTTTCATTTTTACCAGTATTTCTTATACTTCCTTTTTGGCCTGTAAAAAATCGTATCCCCACTTAACGAAGTTCCTTTTGTTAGAACGGGTCAGGATATTGGATATATTAACTGTTGTACCCTTTAGTGGGGCGGTTAAGCAAAAATTCGTGCACTTTGGGTTAAAAGCATGAAACTTGGCACATAGATGGCATCAACCCTACTGATTATTTTGGGATGTGGATCCACCTCAGCAGCTCCCCCTGGTGGTCCTTACGGCCATCTTTTCCAAAATGGCCGCCTATTCATTGATATACATATAACTAGGGGTGTCACAATAAGACATTTTTTTACAAATCATTTCAGGCCAGCAATTTCTAAATGCGAAATTGCTAGCTGAACATGATTTTTGAAAAAAAGATTTATCTATGACGTCATTTTCGTTTGGGGTTTCCCTGATTTCAAAAATGGCCGCCAAAATTTGAAGAAAAATGAATTTCCAGATAGGATGGGTGATTATCACGCAATGTATGCCTTGTAATATATCAAATATATGGTTTTTGTTGTAATTGAACTGAAAAATAATCTCTAAAACTAGTTTTCCCCAAATCCAAGATGGCGGAAATTCAAAATGGCGGCCACAATATACACAAAATGGCGGATTGATCAGATTAAAGTCATTCCACTGTTTGATTTGGTTTGTAATATATAATTTAAAGGGTTTACATTGTCACTGAACTTAAAATTAATCTAAATAAGAAAATAATTTCCAAAATCTAAGATGGCGGAAATTCAAAATGGCAACCAAAATTTATCTAAAATGGCCGATTTGTCAGATAAAAGTCATTTCACTCTTTGATATGGTTTGTAATATATAATATAAAGAGTTTTCAAAGTCATTGAACTTAAAATTAAACTAAAAAAAAAGAGTTTCCAAAATCTAAGATGGCGGAAATCCAAAATGGCGGCCAGAATTTGCCTATAATGGTTTGCCTGATTTCAAAAATGGCCGCCAAAATTTGAAGAAAAATGAATTTCCAGATAGGATGGGCGGTTATCACTCAATGTTTGCCTTGTAATATATCAAATATAAGGTTTTTGTTGTAATTGAACTGACAAATAATCTCTAAAACTAGTTTCCCCAAATCCAAGATGGCGGAAATTCAAAATGGCGGCCACAATATACCCAAAATGGCGGATTGGTCAGATTAAAGTCATTTCACTGTTTGATTTGGTTTGTAATATATAATTTAAAGGGTTTACATTGTCACTGAACTTAAAATTAATCTAAATAATTAGATTAAATGCTGTAAATGCGCTTAGTTCCTATTGTCAGATCGTGACAGTATATTAGATATGGGTATATGTCGTACCGGTGTTGTAAATACACATATTAAGGTACATATTAACAGAAAATAAATATTTACATTTATTTATTATATTAGCATAGTGTTACTAAATATATCGGTTTAACAGAATATACAAGTCACATTTATTTATTACGTGAAACTAAATATATCGGTTTAACAGAATATGTTTACATGTATTTATTATATTAGCATAGTTTTACTAAATGTATCGGTTTAACAGAATATACATGTTTACATTTATTTATTATATTAGCATAGTGTTACTAAATATATCGGTTTAACAGAATATACATGTTTACATTTATTTACTACTAGCAGGATACCCGGCTTCGCTCGGGGGTCATAACTCCGAAACCGGAAGTGGTAGACTAACGCCACCTGGCCTATGTTACTCCCCGGTCCGAGCCACCCCTATACCCCAAATTTCAGACTCGGGGTAGACCTAGTGTAGCCGCCAGCCCCGAACAGACCGGCTTCGCTCGGGGGTCATAACTCCGAAACCGGAAGTGGTAGACTAACGCCACCTGGCCTATGTTACTCCCCGGTCCGAGCTACCCCTATACCCCAAATTTCAGACTCGGGGCAGACCTAGTGTAGCCGCCAACCCCGAACAGACAGACAGATACCCGGCTTCCCCCGGGGTCATAACTCCGAAACCGGAAGTGTTAGACTAACGTCACCTGGCCTATGTTACTCCCCGGTCCGAGCTATCCCTATACCCCAAATTTCAGACTCGGGGCAAACCTAGTGTAGCCGCCAACCCCGAACAGACCGGCTTCGCTCGGGGGTCATAACTCCGGATCCGGAAGTGGTAGACTAACGCCACCTGGCCTATGTTACTCCCCGGTCCGAGCTACCCCTATACCCCAAATTTCAGACTCGGGGCAGACCTAGTGCAGCCGCCAACCCCGAACAGACAGACAGACAGATACCCGGCTTCGCCCGGGGTCATAACTCCGAAACCGGAAGTGGTAGACTAACGCCACCTGGCCTATGCTACTCCCCGGTCCGAGCTACCCCTATACCCCAAATTTCAGACTCGGGGCAGACCTAGTGTAGCCGCCAACCCCGAACAGACCGGCTTCGCTCGGGGGGGTCATAACTCCGGAACCGGAAGTGGTAGACTAACATCACCTGGCCTATGTTACTCCCCTGTCCGAGCTACCCCTATACCCCAAATTTCAGACTCGGGGCAGACCTAGTGTAGCCGCCAACCCCGAACAGACAGACTTCGCTTGGGGGTCATAACTCCGAAACCGGAAGTGGTAGACTAACGCCACCTGGCCTATGCTACTCCCCGGTCCGAGCTACCCCAAATTTCAGACTCGGGGTAGACCTAGTGTAGCCGCCAACCCCGAACAGACCGGCTTCGCTCGGGGGTCATAACTCCGAAACCGGAAGTGGTAGACTAACGCCACCTGGCCTATGTTACTCCCCGGTCCGAGCTACCCCTATACCCCAAATTTCAGACTCGGGGCAGATGTAGCCGCCAACCCCGAACAGACTTCGCTCGGGGGTCATAACTCCGAAACCGGAAGTGGTAGACTAACGCCACCTGGCCTATGTAACTCCCCGGTCCGAGCTACCCCTATACCCCAAATTTCAGACTCCGGGCAGACCTAGTGTAGCCGCCAACCCCGAACAGACCGGCTTTGCTCGGGGGTCATAACTCTGAATCCGGAAGTGGTAGACTAACGCAACCTGGCCAATGTTACTCCCCGGTCCAAACCATCCCTATACCCGAAATTTCAGACTCGGGGCAGACCTAGTGTAGCCGCCAACCCCGAACAGACAGACAGACAGACAGACAAACGACAGTCACAAATATATATATAGATAGATATTAGCATAGTGTTACTAAATATATCGGTTTAACAGAATATACATATTTATATTTATTTATTATATTTGCACATTTATTCATTATACAGGGCGGGTCGAAGCAATTCATGATTGGGGGGGGGGGGGGTCTACAATACTAGAACTTTAGGCGAGGGTCCAGGGGCCTCAAGCTCCTGGGGTTCTATATCGTCGGATATGCTTTCTGGGCGATTTCTGGCTAATGAAATTACTCGCCAGAGAAGTTTTAATTCTTTTCTAAATCCCTTACCACGAAAACGCAGTCGATGGTGGTTTCCTGTGAACTGAACAAATATATGCATAATAATAACAAGGTTGTGAACCACTAGAGGTCACAATTTTTATCCGATTTTAATGAAACTTACAATGTACGTTTATAACCCAAGATCTCGGTTCCTCTCGATATTCCTGGATTATGGTCCCTGGTTGAGCTTCTGGACTCTCTAGAGGTCGCAATTTTCACTTGATTGCAAAACCCATTCAAAAATCACCGTTACACCATAATTACGGTTGAGTTTAAATTAAACTGTTAATTTTACCTCTTGCCCATCCATTTCTTCGAAAATCTTGCATGGCAACCGCTTGTTTTAACTGGCCATAAGCAGTGAATTATTTGTATATGAGACACACGGAAAGAGTGTGAGAAAAAATAACTGTATCCCGTTGTTTTGTAATTACCTAATCTGCTCTATAGATACTGACTGCAAATTCCGGCCCACACCCAGCACACCCGGCCAAGAAAGTCTATTATACCAGCCCATTCCAGACTCCAGTGATGGCGTGGCGGCCCGTTAAGGCCACATACAACATAATCATCATCGCTCCATTGCCGGTCCAATACCCCCCCACCCCCAATATAATGTTCGGCAGAAAAGGGTTTTTAAGACGAATTGGACAAAATTATTTTTTTCATTTTTTGTCCGACCGGCCCTTCGGGCGAACGCCCAATAGCCCAATCCGCCCCTGAACGAAAGTGATAGGTCAGTTAACTAATCGTAACTCTGACAACTGTGGAATCAGTGTAGCGTATAGCAGGGTTTATATTCTGACTTCTATGTTAAAATGGGCCCTCTTCCAGTTACGCCATTGTATCTAATCTAATAGTTACTTGCGTGCAATAACCTAGAGAGAGGAGTACTTGCGGCCAAAGCCTTCCCCCCCCCCCCCTTCATTCTGCCGGGCCTGTTATATTCGCATAGCGTCAATAAATAGTGGTTTATAAGAATATTAAATCTAACTGTACGTTATCAATATTATCATCTGTCTATGTATATCGTATTGATTATTGGCTACTCTTAAATGCAAATGCACCATTGGGGGCGGAGATTTTTTCCAGGGTGCGGGCAGCTGTTCCCCTTGCCCCC